AATGGCCTGAAGTCGCCACCGGTCAATGGATGTTGACTGGCCACATTATGGAATAGAAAGGAAACTGGATTTGGCTAAATAAAACGCACTCCTTTAATTTGAAACAGTAATATTCATGACTGATCCCGCGTAATTTGAATTCTGAGTCCCAAATTAGGAAGGACGGTGGAGAGGGATGAGTAGCGGGCTTTTAGGAAGTAATGCGGTAAAATACAAAGAGGAGGGGAGGGGACCGAAGAAAGCGATGAGTGGAAGGATATAGTGGAAGGATATAGAGGAGAAGGAAGGATGACAATTTAGGTTTATTGTTTCAGCAAAAATATGAGATGCTTTTCACATCTCCTACTCCCCTAAAGGATGACGAAATCAGGAACAAGGCCTGGAAAAATAGATTACAGAAAAGAAACGAGCCGGTAGCGAGAAGCAATCAGCTTGTGAAATAACTTTAACTATGAAATCGGGTCCTGAGTTATACGAGAAAATTTTTTGTCGCAGAAGGTCAGTGCAGTTTGTAGCTGACTTCTTAAAAGCTGTTAAGTGCGAGGATTGGTACACGGATAAAGTGCTATGAATCTCGCAAAAAGGCTGAGAGGTGGAGGGATTTTGTATCAGCACAGGAGCACTTCAAGTGCTTATTTTCGCAGACGACGTTGTGTATGTTTCCAACTTCCTTTCGAATAGTCCACACTCAGTGCGATGAAAACTGAACCCTAGGTTCATGATGGAAAATTAAGTGGATAAGGGATTGAGAATCAGTCCTTTGAGCATGTGGAATTCCAAATCCGTGGCTGGGTGAAACGACGGCGATAAACAACGGACAGCGAAGCGTTGTATTCGTATTTGCTTGCCACTGGCGAGAAAATTAAGAACAAAGAAGCCACGGAATGGTGCGTAGAGGTGTCAGTAAGATGCAACACACTTCCAGGAAGCACAGTGGCTTTGCTCAAGCGTGAGCGATATTATCAAGGCAGTGTACACCAGGAAGAAGAGCTGGGCTAGTCATTTGACATGGACAAGGAAGAAGAGCAATGTACACCAGGAAGAAGAGCTAGGCTGGTCATGTGGCAAGGACGTCAGCGTTGCGTAGGGATGTGAAACTGAGGTCCGGTTGTACGATGCCGGGGTCGGCAAACTGAAGCATCGTAGTGTAGTGTGGGTTGTGGGCTGAGAGTCGAGGGATCCGTCGAAATGTTGGGCTCGGGATGAATGTTCAGAAGCTGAAACCGCGCAGACTATAGCCTTGGTGTCTAAGAGAAAAGATGAAGCCACCACTATGACCGGCTTGAAATTCGCGTACTCGAAGCAGACGGCTGCGTTACAGACGATGCGGTCTCGGGAACCTCTTAAGGGCGCACAATGAATATGTAGCCACTAAGAAGGGGCCTCTTGATGAGCGCCTATGTGGAGCGGAGTAGACATAAAATGTTCTGAACTGCGAATGGTAAGAGGCATGATACCTATGCACCGTCACGGATCAACTCATGGAACTACAGCTCTCTATAATTTGACTGATAATACTGGCAGCGTTAAGTTCTACTTGAGGTTATCATGCAGATGGGTTGTAGGAGGGAGCGGGGAGGGGGAAGGAGGAGTGGGAAGGTTGATTTTATATTTAAACAACCACGCATGGTGGTGAGGCATGCTCACAAAACTTCTCTCTCCCAGTTCTGGTTGATAAAATACAAAATAGTCGGTGTCCTGGTACTCATGTGCTACATGCAGAGATTCGCTAAAGGTCAATATAAACTCCCAGGGTTGCACAGGGACAGAGGACCCTCCGATGAAATACCAGCCTCCAGAAACCGCTTCCCATAAAAATATTTTACGTGTACGCATGCGAAAGTTAGACGTAATTAAAAGAACCCTAGGCTTGCAGCCTCAACACCTATGATATTTATAAAAATATATAAAAATCTCAATCGAGTTTATTTATATGCATTTAAGCTTATACAGTTTTTTTTTTAAATATAAAAGCAGTAAATGAGAATTTTCTGTCTGAGGTGCAATTAGTTTCTGCTCTTTCCCCTCCTCCCACCCAAATTTTGGTATTCTTTAAATTTTCACTTCCCTTAAAACTACAACACATTTTTTCAGACAAGTTTTATTTTTTAAATTTATTTTATCAACACTGGAGCCGTCATACTGACGAGGTCCACCTGTGGTGCTGAATAAGAATATTTACGACTTATTGGGCGGGACATTCCTGCTCATCGAATTATTTGATATAACTTTGCATTATTTTTTAGTTTTATATATGTCATAAATTTATCTTTACTATGTGTTCACATAAGGACAACAATTGTAGGCTTGCGAGTTTACAGGATAGGCATCAGTTTTAGGTCTGGAGGTTCGCGCCAGTACTTTTTGTGGTCCAACTCCACATCGGCAGAGCGCCAACTAAGCTACAGTTCGAAAATCGACATACTGCTGCGCGCTGTTTGGGTCGCGCGTGGAAAAAGAATGTGCCCGTAAAATTTCAACTTCCTAGCTTGTCCGGTTCCCGAAATCGTTTCCCCGCCTAAACATCTTTCACGTGTTCGTGCGTGAAAGCTAATTAGCCGTGCGCGGTCAAGTTACTTCCGGGCTGAAGCAGGCTCAAGCACAGTGACAAACACAAAATTCAGCTTTATAGCTTTCGTAAATCGGGAAATACAGACACATACACGAGCACACACACACTCATACGTATGTACACACAAAATCTCTCCATAAAATGCATGTCTGCACTGGAAAAATGTTTAAAAAAATGCGTAAAAAAAGAAAATATCCAGAGAAATGGAATGGTAATCCCTTCGGGAGACGAAACGAACGTCAGGAACGCCAGGAGAATGTCCAGATAGGCGATTTAACAATTGTCAAAATAAGTGGAAATGCTGCAAGCTGCACAGATGCATTAGAATAGACAATAAGAGGTAAGTGGCAAGTTTGGTGGATTGTTTGAATGTTGGATGTTTTTGGATTTGTAATTGTTTTTGGAAGTGTTGGATGTTGTTCGATTGTTTACTGGTTGGATTGTTTTTGTTGGTAATTGAATGTTGGGATTGTTCTCGGTTTAATAAAGTGAAAATATAAAAAAGAAAAAAAAAACATTTCATTCAAGCGAACAATCAAATGCAAACAA